ATAAACTGCCTTCTAACACTTTAATCTTGAATTTATCCAAGCATTGGATTTGAACCTTGGTTGCTATAAATGTCTTTACACACACACATACACCACTCAGTTCAAGCTGAATGTTGTTTTGGCATCTTAAGACACATTGATAAAAAACCTTCAGTACCATAACATTTTTACAACTTGCAATGGGTTATGGTTGGCATTATGGTTGGCTTTTAAAATCCACGTGGCAGGCATAAATCCATCAGGTTAAGCATTTTCTAGTGCGGAAATACAATTATGTGAAAAGCTTCATCAGTTAACATTCTGCCTGCCAGACATCATGATATATATAAAACTAGTTTCCCACCCCTGCTTTATGCTTGCCAAAGCAAAGAGATCCAAACAGGCGTAAGAGGTTATCTGACCTGTTCACAGTCTTCCCCACTATGGTATAAAGTATTATATTTCTATTTAAATAACAATACCCCCCCCAAAGAATGACACCTATACATATAAATACAACACCTGCAAATGTTGTGCCCAATACCCCTGCAGTGTGCTGGGCCCAGAAAATCCTACTGGCATCCCTGTAGCATACTGACTACTGTGTCTACATACTAACAAAGATATAGGGCTTGCTTAGTTCTGTGCTTCTCTCTCAAGCAGCATTTGTCAGACTGGATTAGACTACAAGTGCCAGTATTATAAGGGCTGGTATCCATTGACGTTGAATGGAGATCAGCAAGCTAATTTCACAAAGGCACTCCAAATAGTCTTGAAATGGCTTAGAGGAGGTGAGAAAGAAAGAAAGGCAAGCACTTCTCCTACTATGCTAGCCATCTTGCTTTCTTTTCAGTGATCCTCTCTTTTCTTCTCTGGCTCCAGAGGAGTGATGACTGTTGATTAGCCTTTAGAATTGCAGGGCAAGCAGGTTTGATCTCAGGTTAGGAGTGAAGGGGGAAAGGCTCAGATGAAATTAGAGGACTAGTGAGGGCTACTCTGAACCACTGAACAGACTGCATGGTTTGACAGTAAGGACTTTATTGCGCTGATTGTTACTAGTAGGACTTTCTCCCCAACGTTTTCTATAACTCGAAATTCAATATGAGGGAAAGGTTAATGTGTTTTCCCCCCCTCTCTGTTCCACTAAGTTGCTGCCAACTTCAATTGTTCTTTCTGCCTACTTTCAGAGGGTCCCCTGGGGCTTAATTTGAGCCTATGTTCACTGACTCTTGATCCTAGCTAGATCTTATGAATTAATAACTGAGTGTGGCCTTGAAGCATGTGCGAAGTACCTTTCTGTTGCCAAAACGTAGCCGCAACTAGCCCACAACTGGAGTGGCCATGAGGTCTTCCAAGCAAGTTAAAGGCAAGTTTAACCCCAGCAACTCACATTTTAGAAATGAAGCAAGACTGGACCCCCTCCCCACTTCTTTAATATTTCTTGGATTTTCATTTTCCTTTACCTCAAGTTTCTTTGTGTGATTCTTTCCTAATTTGGGCTATGCATTATATCTTGAAGCTGTTTCCTTCTCATTTGCTTACAAACACCCTTTCCTAATGCAGAAAAAGATCTCTTGTGGTAACCTTCTGGGAGGTATATACTCACAGGGATCCTGACAGATACTCATGTGAGAAAACCCCATGAATACAAGAAAGATGGCCTTAAGGGTTCTCCGTCTCAGAGTCTCAACTTGACAGTCACTCTCAGTTGAGAAATGAGGCATTTCTTGCAAGGCTAACTCTTCTGGGGACATTAAAAAAACCAAACTGGTTTGACCAACATGTGGGGTTCTTTTGCCAGAACAGATAGAAAGCAATATCACATTTTGAGGAAATCAATGAAGCGCTAAGTTTCTTAGTGGCACTTACTCCCGGGTAAGTACAGTTAAGAGTGCAGCCCTAGTTGATTAAGGTACCAAATGGAGCCAGCTTCACATTGATAACTGTATTGCTCAAAAGTCTTTCTCCTTTAGTAAACTCTCATCTAGGAGACTCAAAGCTTCCCTTTCTGCCATATGGAGGAGAGCATGAGTACCAAGGAGAGTGTTCTATACCTCCCAAATGTGAACCAGTTTAGCATTCCAACAAGTAAATGTACCAACTATATATTATTAGACTTCCATCCATTGAAGTCTTACTGCTGAATCACTTATATTTCCAGGTATCAGAACTGAAATGTTGCTTGTATGTCAACTGAATGTTCTTCCCATGTTGGAAAACTTCCATATTTAGATTTCCAAGGGGTCCCTCCAGATGGGGCCTCAAGAGCAGAAATGGATGTGTAGTATTCTGGGCCTCTGCTAAGTACCATCAGCTGCAACTGTGACTTGCTTTATAAGATTCCCCTACCTTGTCACCATATCTTTCTAGCTTTCTGAGGGTTCATGCTTTCTGACTTGTAGAACTAAAGATGCCCTTCAATTAATTCAAGAATGCAGTGAAATCTGCGTTTGCTAAACATTTCGGTGAACATATGCAGAAGGAAGTGTGGATGCCTCACTCTCCTCCTTCCGTGTAGGCATCTTGCACAGGGACTATTTCTTTCTTGTTTTACATTAATGAAGTCTTCACTGTTCCCACTGTTAACACCTACGCATGTACTGAACGTCTCCAAGGAGACAAGGAAACCCTTGAGTCCAGCAATGGTGAATCCTCCAATGAGGCAGCAAGCAAGAGGCAACTCCTTGAGGCATCTAAGCTTCCAGCTGTCCTCCTGCAGACATTAATTTCCTTCTGGCTCCTACAGGCAGGCTTTCTTCTTTGCATCTGAAATGTTGGTGAGTGCTTCAGGCTTCTGAGAGTGAGCTGGGTAGGGAAACACTTCTTGCATCTCTTTGTGATCTTTTCCCCAGCCTCCTGTTTATGTCACCTGGCTTCCTCTTCAACAATTGCAAACGTATTACCAATTCTAGCACTGTCACCACCGACTTTCCCTCTTTGAGAGATATATATATATAAAAAACCAGTCATTACTGATCTTTCATGAATCCAGCCTTTGCTGCTGTTTATGTGCTTTGCTAACTTCTCATTAGGTATTAGGAAACAGGCCCTGAGTTGCCATGTATTCAGGATGCTGCTTCCTGCTGAGCCACACTGCCAGGTGTCGTCAACCTGTCTGAAGGGTGGAGTCTGTTTTCATCACTGTGCGGACTTGCAGGGGATTTGCATCTTCTCTATTAGTTTCTGAAAGGGCTGCTTTGTTTTGGCAGGAAGCAATTATTTTTCACAGGCTGCACAATTAACTTTTATGGCATGGATACTTGCAAAATGTGGAGATGAGCAAATGCTTAGATATTTCAAAATGAGGAGAAGACTATCAATATATATGAGCCAGAATACCTTCAAAAAGACATTAAGAGATGTCATACCTCTGATATTTAAATGCTAAGGACAGACATTGGGATATGGCTGTCTCCATATCGAACCATGTTTATGAATTTCCCAGGTACGTTTTTCTGAACATTGCTGGAAGCAGAATAATACACTCACCAAATCCACTTTTGGTTTGAACTAGGAAGGACCCTACTTGTCATCTTAGCATCTAATGTTTCTACAGCAGACTGGGGCAGGGCCTTACCTCTGAAAAGGCAGGACCAGTTTTCAGCACTCTGCTTAAATATGTAATGCATAAGAGGTAATACAAAATAAGACCAATCACTCTCTAAATATCATGGGCATAAGCCACGGAGAAAAGCTGAGAATTTATTATCCACCTTCATTGTAAAGCATTGAAGAGGGTTTGATCTTTCAGGGCATGGAAGATCCTGTGCTCAGATAACCGTAGGATTTTCTTGTTCAGAATGTTTATCTTACCTCATAATGAAGAGAGGGAAGATGGGAGAATGTGAGTCAGTCTGCTCTTGATGCCTCCCTCAGTTGAATCCCAGGAGGGAATGTACAAAGAAGGAAATAACACAACCCCTCTTCTGCATTATGTGTTTTCCCTAGGGAACAGTAGAAAACAAACCAACCTTATTTCACAATCTATCTGTTTCTCTAGGGCAGCCTTTCTCAACCTGTGGGTCCCCAGATGTTGTTGAACTACAACTCCCATCACCCCTAGCTAGCAAGGCCAGAGCTCAGGGATGATGGGAGTTGTAGTCCAACAACATCTGGGGGCCCACAGGTTGAGAACCGCTGCTCTAGGGTGTGACTGGCTAATCTGTGGCCCTCTAGATGTTGTTGGACTCCCCATAATACCTTTCCGTAGTGGTTGGGGCTAATCGAGGTTGGAGTCATAACAACAAAAGGGCTGGCTTACCAACAGTGGTAAGCCAACCCTGCACTAGAGGAATGTGTACTTATGTGCTTTGAGAAAGCTTTGAGAGGAGGCTGAGACCACTACCAATTCAATAGAATGTAAAATAGCCAGGGCTGTTCTAAGTAACTACCATTTTCATATTTCTACACCTGCTACAGAAACAGTGATTTCTTACATCAGATTGCAATATACCAGGCATGTCCAAAGTCCGTTTCGGGGGCCTAATCTGCCCCGCTGGTCGATTTAATCTGGCCCCTGTGGCAGTTTATTTCCTGGGGTAAAATCCTAAAAATACCTCAACAACTTCAATCCTAAGAAAAGGTTAGCAACTTTGGTCGGCCCTTTGGTCGGCCCTCACGGCCCTTCACTTCATCAAATCTGGCCCTCTTTGAAAAAAAGTTTGGACATCTACACATAGTCTGATAAACTGACACTCTTTAATGTGAAAGTTGCAGTCCAACCCCCCCCCCCAATAGGGTCAGAGTGTTGAATTATAGACATATTATTGAAAACAGTTTATTAGCACAAGCCATCAACTAGAGTCAGTTCATTTTTGTGCTGAATGAGGCACTACCAGAACCATATGAACATTTGGGCTTTGGTTTTCTAGGGTTTGTTAGTGTGAATATTATTGTGTCATTGCTGTAGTCCAATGGCAATCAAATTCTGGTGGTTTCTTTGGTGAGTATGCCATGTATACATAAGATAAGCCAATAATTTATGCTTGGTGAAACTTATTTCTATCATTATTTTCCTTCAGGCTCTTCAGGTAGCAAGGCAGCTTTTGTTACAACAGCAGCAGCAACAACAACAACAACAGCAGCAGCAGCAGCAACAACAACAACAACAACAACAAATTAGTGGGCTGAAGTCTCCCAAGAGGAATGAGAAACAACCATCCCTTCAGGTAAGACATTATAACAACAACAATGTACTTATTCCTTGATGTGTTTTAATAGGATCAATTGACATGGAAACTTGTAGTAACAGATTTTTTAAAAATATGCTGTTGATGTCACCATTGTCTCAGTCAGGCTTAGTGGTGTGGTAGTCATGGTGTAAATGTATCAATAGTAAGTGCTCTTGAGACTTTATTTTACCAGTTAAACTGTTAAACAAAGGTCTTGAAAGGATATGCGGGGAAGGCCTGTAGATCAGTGGCAGAAAGTCCAAAGTTCAGTTCTCAACTTCCTATGTTGAAGGTCCCCATTGAAGAAGAGCGATTTTTGGAATGCGAAGTATCCACCAATCTACCTTGAATCTTTGATACTCTAAAAAAAAATGAACAGTCACTGTGCTCTTATGTAAAAGATTTCTAGAAGAATTAACAATCCTTTGAAATAAGGTCCATGTGCTAACTCTAATTCAAAGTTAGTGAAGCAAATATTGTTTTGTTGATAAGTTTTGGTGAATAGACCTTTGTGTTTGGAAGTTTCCCAGACCGTTGTTTACCATATTTAGAAGCATGTATGTGCTATTAGAGCCTCAATATATGCTGAATAGTATTTGCAAGGAAATCTGTCCATTCTTTTACTCTGTGTTGCTGCATATCAAGTAGTTTTTCATCATGTTGTATCAAGAAAATAGAGGTGTGTCAACTACTGATTTGGCATACAATTTGGAGGAATGGTAATTAAATCGTAAAAGTATTAGGGATTTGCTAAGGTCAGCTTAGTTTATTCACATACCAGTGATGGTTTATTGTTTATATTGACATTTGCCACTTGTCTTTCTAAGGGAAGCACATCCAGTTCAGATACAAATTCCAGTAGTTTCGTTTAACTATATCCAGGACTTTATCCATTTCAAGAAGTATCTGTAGATAATCTCGGTGATATTTTTTTCTAAAGGAAAAAATGGAATCCTTGGCTTCATTCCTAAAATATATGAATGGGAGGAAGGCCACAGAAGGAAGTTTACCTTCCCCTTCACTCCCCGGTAGCTATCTGTGCCCCTGAGGAGTCAGGGAGACATCCTGCACATCGTAGCATATGAAGCACAGGGAATCTGCTGCAGAGAATCTTCCAAAATCAGGTCCAGATTTGCCTGTGTGAGGCGATCCAGCCTCCTCATCCATCCCATTGCACATTATTTAGGATCCCATCCCACACTGATCACCTGGATAGGCTTGTGGGGAGTAGGACAGGCAGCTGCAGGAGGGATGGGGGAACAGTAAACATTCTTTCTGCCTGATTATTTTAAGACCCAAATCAAGGTTCAGAATTTTCCCCCACCCCCCACAGCAAGGTATCTTGTATAATTGCTTGAAATCATGTTTTCCTCCAAAGTTATTTTTAAGGAACAACACTTAAAACATATCAAGTGTATGTTGTTAACCTGGTTTTATGCATGGAGACACTAAGCTTGGCATATTAAGCTGATGGCTCACGATTACAGGACAGCTGGGATGTAGAGGCATGGTCAGAACTCCGAGGTCACACGGTTACGTTCAACTCCATGGCTGAACCCCAACTCTCTGTTTATCGTTAACTGATATTCTTTCAGGAGGAGTGGGTGTTCTGTCTCTGAGCAAATGCATATTTAAAAGCATTGTTGTGAAAGAACAGAACGCTGAATCCATGCTGTTTTGTTAGAACTTCAAAAATATTTTGAAGTTATTTTGGTCAATCTATTGCTGATCCATTTGCCTTTTAATAGACTCTTCTACTGGGGACATTTTTAATGAGATATTGTGCTAGCGAGGCCCAGTGTCAGGTACTAGAAGAAGTGCTTTGTTGTGCAGATGTCTTAAGAATTGCTCCAGAGGATGAAATATGACTGTGTTGACCTTTCAGCTGTGAGCTTATTTGTCAGGATTCAAATAAGTTGAAAGGATCAAACCAAACAGTTTCCGTAGTCAGACTGGGAATTGTGTTTCAGAGGTCAACAGTGAGGGCCACGTTGCAGATTCCATAACATAGCCAATTGTTGGTACATATTAAAGTACTGGAGCTGCTTCTGCAGTCAGAGACACAATTAAAATTCTAATTTATTAATGTATACAGAGAGCTGGTCCAACCTGTCACTCACTGATTCAAATGACTGCCCATTCTTTTTCCACCCTTGCTCTTTGAGCTTTTGCATCCTTAAACCTACTCTTGAATATAACAGACACTGTGATCCCAATGGCACAATAAAGATATGTATTTTGAAAGTGTCTGAGCATGGAAGAGAAATTGTTAAGGAAACATTTACAAATATACACGGACCCTTTCTCATGCTACTTGACAATATGAAATATTGAATATCCTTGTGTTTTGTATCATCTCTATCAACAGTCAACTGTCTAAATTTGTCATGATTTCATTTATTCTTGGGCTAAATTCTTCTGGCACTTAACAAATGAACTAAGTTCTTTGTCCTTTTTTCGACAGTGTTAACTAGATTTTTAAAACAGTGATTAATAATTTTGCAGGCAGTATTTTTCAAAAATTAATTTGGACATATTATTTGCTATTTTAGGTACCTATTGCTGGGCGCTTTAAGATTTGCTTTAAGATTTATATTAGGGACTTAACCAAAATTTACTTATGAAAGCCTGTGTTCCCTAGCTTTGGTGCATTAAAAAAAACATGAAAATAAGAAATACATGGACAAACAAACAAAAAGATTTATCTCATGGAATTGTAGAGTTGGAGGAAAGCCCCCCCCCCCGCCCCGGGGTCATCTAGTCCAAACTCTGCAGTGTATTTTTGCTTCTGGTTGCTTGAAACATGTGAGTGGGGTAGAATGTTAATTTGGAATGTTTTGCTGTGCAATTTGGTTAGGCTGGCTTCCCCCTAAACTTGTGAACTGATAATCAAGGAAATGGGCCAGTTTGATAGACTCACTGACTGTTGTATATACACATGCAAGGATATTGTTAAGTGAAGATTCAGTCTCACACTGTTTAATTTGTGGTTGAGAGGTGAACTGAACAGGTAAAAACTAAGGGAGAAAATCTGTTAATTTCTTCCATTCCTAGCGACTCACCACTGAAGGATTCAGCGCTTTGCATACAATAGTGCTGGTCTATCTGTGGCCATTGTTTTTGACACAAGGATACAATCCAGTTGACTGTCGTCCTGTAGAATTTCTTTTGTTACCTGTTGACCTTGACAGCTATTATTGGAGACATGTTCTAGCACATTTCATATGTTTTGTATATAAGCATTTTGTCTGAGATGTGGGATTCTGCTAGGTTTTTTAAAAAAATAAACCTCCCAATACAAATCCTCTGACTCACATTTTTAAGCATAGATAGTATACAACTCTGTCTTTTATTTGGCAAAGGTCTCTGCTTTTGCAGCCTAATAATACAAACAAAAGAAATTCAGAAAGTTTAAATGATCTGATTTTAATAGCCAGAAATTAGAAGACCATAAAAATATCAAAACCACAAAAACAAAATGGGTAGAGAATCGAGATTAAAGCTCTCTGTGAAAATATTTGCCACTGGTGTACTTCTATTTCATAATGTAAAATAAAATAAAATAACTATTTTGCTGGTCTGAGTTAGCCCTGGAGATTTATATCTTCGCCTGGCCAGAATGTGTATGCCTAGGAATAGATCTTTCCTTGATTACAATATGTACTTTTAACCATTGACTTTTGAGACTGCCTCCCCCCCCCCCCGATCTTTGGGTGTTTTAGTTGTTGGCATGAATTTATAAATTGGAAGAAAATCAAGAGACACACTTTTGCTTTAAGAAAATAAAACAGTATGTGTATTTTGGCAGCATTAAAATTTGCCTTAAAATGTTATATTGTGTTCTCAAAAGAAAGTTGGACATTGGGGCCAAAAATACTTTTCAAAAGGTCTAAAGCAGCATCTCGGGGTATCTTGCTTTGTACAGTTTGGTAATATTAACATGCCATTTGTTATTCTGTGTTAAATGAATTGAGAGAGTAGTAACAGAAAAACAGTGACATAAGCATAAAACGTGCAGTGAGGTCCAAGCACAAGATCCACTGAGATGACTGAGTTTAGAAAAGGCGGGTCTTGGGTTGTCTGCCCAACTTGGCTCAGCTGGCAGAACTTAAACAGGTGTAAGTCCAAAAGAAGGGTGTGTGGTGGGATAGGGGTAGGACACCAATTCCAAACCTCTTCCAGATCACTTATGAGTTCTGCTGGCATTCCAGCAGAACATATGCTGGCAAAAAGGGTGATGTTAGCCAAACTCTATTTTCAAGTCTTGTTTTCCCTCAACCAGTCTTGCACAGGCTCAGTGGAGTTTGGAACAGAGGTAACTTACATCAGCTTAACTTAAATCAGTGTAAGTTCCTGTACTTAGGATTTCAGGATTATTATTATTATTATTATTATTTTTTTTTTTTTTTAATCAATCGGCTACATCCTTTTGAGCCATATGAACTCCAGACTTGTGCTTCTGTCGCTATAGTGGAATCACGTGACCAACAAATTGGGCATAGCAATCCATCGGTGTGGCCACATAGTCCAGACTTGCTCTGAATCAGGGTCAGCAGCACACAGATTACTTACTGATTTGGACTTCAAAAAACAAACACATATTTTATCCCCCTCTTTCTGTTGAAAGGTAAAACCCAAAGCTGCTTATAAACAATAAACATCAAAGCAAATACAATGACAACATACTTTTTTAAAAAAAGCAGAGAAACTTACACAAACATCCCCAAACAGTAGAGAGAGATCATCACAAACAAAACACTACTGCAGAAGTTAATCAAAATAGAAGTGTCTTAATGTATCATCAGAAGGCCAGGCAGATATCTTCCTAGGGAACGGAATTCCAGAGCATGAGAAAAATGGCTGTAAAATTCCTGCCCGCATAGGGTCAAACTACCATGTTAATGCTTAATGTACAGATTCTTTTTTTAGTCCTCATTGTTCTAGGGTGGTCATTTCCTAACTTTGTGCTGTTAGCAAATAATTAACTAATTATTATT